CCCGGGGGGCTGCTGGGAGTGCGTTTTCCCACCCCTGAATACACGGCCTATTGGGAGGGGTGGGGGTTGGGGTGGGGTGGGGTGCAAATTGCTTAAAGAGCTGGGTCCGTTTGGCGGCCGTTGACCCGGCACCCTTCGTTCTCCCAGATACATATTTGCCCACCCTTTCTCAACCATGCCCTGGGGAGACGAGCACTCAGTGCCTAGAGTCCCAGTTAGGACCATACCTCACTGTCCCCCGCCGCCTGGCTCCTTCTCCCGCTCAGCTCATAATTAGGCTGTGCGTCCGCTTCGCCAATGACTCGGCCTGCGGAGGGGGGCGAGGGAGAGCGGAGGGAGTGCCCTGGTGGGTACCCGTGTTAACTTCCGGGTGCTGGTGGGGCAGTGGAGGCTCAGGCGGTTCCTCCGGTGACTCCCAAGGCCCTCCTGCTAAAGCACCCAGAGGCGGTTGCTTTCCAGAAGTACTGACGCAGGCAGGGTGGACGCTGGCGCGCGGGTCTCCGCTTGGCTCGTAGGGACGCCCTTTTCCCGGCGTCCCCGAGAGAAGCCTCCAGATTTGAAAATCAATTCAGCTTCGGGAGTAATTTCGCCCTTCCCACAGTCACACTCCAATCCGGAATCGAACCTGGTCTTTGGGCCTGGTGGGGACGCTTGCGTAGGCCCCCAGTTTGAGACGTACACCCGGCCGCCACATGCCGCGGCTTTCTTTCATTTACAAAAGAAAGAAAAAAAAATCCGCAACAAAAGGCAGAGCCGTGTCCGCTTAGGTGCTTTCATCCCTCGGAGAAAGGACAGATGTGCCCATTGTCCAGCCCGTGGCAGTTATGGCCGGGTCAGCGCCGAGCCTCAGCCCCAGGCAAGCGGTGGTTACAATGAGAATAGCCTCTCAGAGCCGGGGTATCTGGACTCAGATATGGAATAAAGTGTGTGTAGCCTGTGCTGGGCCAGACTCAGACTGTAGGTTTGCTTGCTGGGGCTCCAAATTGCAGCCCACCCGTGGTGTTCCCACTGCAAATGCTCCTAAGCCCTCAGAGAGGCCAAGGCTGTGGCAGTGGTGGTAGTTGGGTTCCCAAGGCAAAAGTTTGGACTGGCCAACCCTTTGGGAAAAGTCCCCACCGGCTCAGGAATGAGTAGGCCTATCTCTTTGCCCAGGTCCTTGCTACCACTAGGGCAACATCCTAATCCAGGTAGGTCAAGTTCAGTGGATACAGTCAACATGACTTCCTTGAAAGCGCCATATCTTGGGACTGGTTAATCTGGCTAGTTTTATCACCAGAGACACTCCCATCCTGTCCAAACTGCATATGGAGGCCCTGCAAATAATTCAACTCAATGGATTTCATGTCTACTTGCATAAAGAACATTTTGGAATTTAGGAACTCCCACAGAAGAAAATATATTTTGGGTAAAATACACCGATGTAAAGAAACTCAGAAAACACAATTAACTCTTTAAACTTGTATCTATATCTACCTATTCATACATGCGTACACACAAGCACAAAACATATATTTCCTCCCTAGTAGATTACATTATGTTGGTGGAAAGCTGCATCTTTGGTTTTTAATTGTTTCTATTCTCATTTCCCACAGCATAAGAGACCAAACAATGGGTTAAAGTAGCAGGCAGTCTTTCACCTAAACAGTTGTCCCCCACCCCCAAATATTTTAATCCCACTGAAATGATTGATTTGCCCTTATGACAACTCTCTTCCCAAAAGGCAGTTTGTTAAAAGAAAGAAAGAAGTAAATACCACCAAGTGCACAAATTGTTCATGGTTTTCTCTTTGTGTAGCTAATTAGGAACTTGATCTTGGAAACCCTCCTTTACATGAGGCACTCAGCTGAGCCTCTGGAGTCCACCTGAAGAAGGCTGGCATCAGGTGAGCTCAACTTTCCCCCTCCCCCAAGGGCATTTATGAAAGGGGGACTGGCTCTGTGTTGGTCCCTAAAGAAGGAGCCAAGGAAAAGACCTGAAGAAGCACCATATGTGTTGGGCTTGCTCAGTAATTTTTGATTGTTTTCTAAAACATTAAAAAAATTGTATGTGCAGGATTTGCTTTGGTTTGCAAATCTCCCTAATCTTTCTTGGCTATTCACACCGTTTAACCATTGTTCTTCCCTAATTGACTGAGTTACAGTGGTTTCTCAGTCAGAAACAACACATTACTGTATTCTTATTTGACCTCTCAAAAGTTTTCTTCTTACCAAGAATGTGATGGGTAGGAAGAATGCTCTTCTTAGGCCTAGTTAAGGTGAGTTTGTATGTATGGAGGGAGGAGGGGCACCAGAGAGATTGTTAACTGCTGGAAGGCTGGGACTTCTTTTTGTCATTTTGTCCCTTTCCTTCTTTCCCCCTTCCGGTGACCAGAACAAAGCCTGGCACCCATTAGGTACACCACGGGGATTGAAGGTATTAGAGCCCACAGAGGAGTCCCTGGAAACTTGGTAGGTGTAGGTCAATGTGTGTGATTGAGGGGGAGAACTTGTTTTTAGCTGCTTAGATTTTGAGTAGCTGCAGGAAATTTAAAGAAAAAATAGTGTCAACCACTAGCAGAAAATTACATACATGTATATATGTAAGAAAAAAGGAAATAAGACTATGACTGGATGCTTGTTGCTGACAATATTTTCAGCGTGAAAACAAGGAATTGAGGATGTTTATTTTGTAAACGTCAGGAGGAGAACCTGGGATATGGGATGGACAGGGGCAATCCTTCTTATGCTGGGTAGGTTAGAGCTTACCAGGCAGCCCTATCAGGTTCAGCAAAGAAAAAGTGCAAAGAGAATAAAACCATTCCTCCAAATGCTGGCCACATGAGCTTCTCTGAAAACCTTCCATCCGTTTCAGAATTAATGCTTTAATTATTTTTGTGAGTAGTAGAGATGTAACATATGGCCCAGTCCCAGTTCTCAGGACCATTGCAAAGAAATGTTTCTAGCTCCTCCGAACCATGAAATGTCTACTTCCCATTTTTCGGACCCACAAAGAGCGAGATCCTGGGTGTCAGGGCAAATTCTTCTACCCAGGGATCCAGGGGGAGGCTGACTCCTTGGCTAGAACCCCAGGACATGCTCACTAGCATTTCTGATGCCTGTAGCTAGTCTAACTTTAAACTCTTGGGAAGGAACTATTTCTTTGGTGTCTGGCTACAGTAGAGCACTAGATAACTGGAAAGTGAAGGATTTGGTCCCGGGTGCTTCCTGGCAAGCTCTCCGGTTCCACTTCTACAGAAATGTTATTCAGAAAATTGCTGTAGGCTTAGAGTAGAACACCAAGAAATTCAGAATGGGGTGGCCTGGTGATTCACTATTGAAAACCATTTTTAAAAATCACTCAATGTCTTCTCTCCACTCTCTGGGGACCACGGAAGTGGTAACTAATTATGCTGGCCCCTTGCTTCAATGTTTGATACTCTGTTTAGCTTATTTTACTCATACGTTCGGTACCATTTTTCTTTCTCAAGTTATAGTTTTTGTCCAAGAAAATATTTTAAATTGGGTATTTTTTTTTTTTTTTTTGCACTTTACTCTGTTTTATCTACTTCTTGCCCTTCCATATCCCAAAGAGAAGATGCTCTGGCAAAGAGCTGTCAGCTCATGCCATCCGCAACCGACTCCAGGTTCTGGAAGTTGCCGAGGGCTACCTGGGCGGCCGTCCAAGGACACCAGACCACTCCGCTCGTATCTCTGCTTACTTCCTGCGCTGAGGGGAAAAAAACGCTTGCTCTCCTGGGTCCTCCGGTAAACTAGAGGCGGCTTCTTCTGGACTGGAATCCGTTTCGGCGGTCGCCTACTTCCGCGAGGGCTTTTTCACGGCTTCAAGCCAAGAGCGCTGAAGGGAGAAAGGATATACTGACGCCGTAGGGCTGAGGGAGGGGTTCCAGGCTCCTGGGGTGTTCTCCCGCAGCAGGACCCCGCGCTGGCCGCGGCCA